CTTATCCTTGTTATTTGCACCACCCTGTCATTACATTTAGTGTTTTAGAAAACAGGGGAGAACACAGTTGCTGTCTTAATTTACTGTCAAGTGAGTCTAGTGCAAGAGAGGCTAATCAGCCTTCACTGATTAAAATCTATGCAGCATTTAAAAAAAAAAAAAAAAGTATGTTAAGGCAATGAAAACTTAGACTCTGTGTCAAGGTGATTAAAATCTATGCAGCATTTAAAAAAAAAAAAAAAAAAAGTATGTTAAGACAATGAAAACTTAGACTCTGTGTCAAGATTGGCTGCATCGCAGAGCACTGCACAGTTAACCAAGGGGAAAATGGGAACCATGCTCAACGTGGAGGATACAGCATCACAATTTTCTGGTTGATCAACAGCTTCTACTTTGCTTATTAAATGTGTTTTTAAATGTGCTTAATCTAAAATATGTTTTCAGAAAACCTCTTGAGAAAAATAAGAGTCAGTGTGATGTATTGGATTAAAGCTTTGTGTTTGGATCGAGGCTACAAGTCTTTTACTATGACATATTTTTCCTTGTTTGTGACGGCTTTCTTCAATTCAGATGTAAATTATCTCCAAGTTTATTCAACTAAGCCCAATCTAATTGCATATATTTCTATAAAGTAACTCTACTTTTGTTTGTTGCTCAAGTTGAGCGTATTATCTGTGTCACCCAGAGATATTTCAATAGGTAGAAAGGATTCACAGTATTTGTTTGTGTGTCACTCTGAAAATATAGTTTTTTAAACAGATCTGGTACTTTACCAGGTGTGCCTTTAAGTAATTTCTATTGCATTTATACTTTAGGAGGATTAGAAAAGAGAGTAAAAGAACTCTTTGTCCGTTAGATTCATTAAATGTATTCATGCGTGTGTAAGTGGTATAGAGGCTGTGCTGCTCGGGAATCAGATCCTTGTCCTAGGGTGGAGAGAAAGGTGAAGGGTGTGATATTTACTGCTTGTGTAAGTGTCATAATAATTGTGTATTTGATTCTTTATTTTTAAATTACCTTCCTGGGCATGAAGCCATTTTTTTTTGTGTTTATCTTTTCCCCGCAGAGTTAGGGAGGGTAAGGAACCACACCTTGTAAGTGGTAAAAGTACAGCTGCTCAGGATGTGAGTGTGTAATAGAACAGATGGGTCAGCAAAGGTGAAGACAGAAATAACTCACATGTTATTCTAGGAGGAAAAATACTCTGCTATAAAAATGTATTAATATGTTGTTTAAGCTAGTATTAGTTTTCATTTTTGGTTTATCTAAAAACTCAATTAATTTACTCAGAATGAAGTGTAAGCAGTTACTACATTCTTACAGGAGGAGTATAAAAGTTAACATCACTACCTTGTGCCTTGCAGAGTCATAAATACTTTTAACTTCTAAGTGGCACAGAAGTACTGCAACTAGCTAGTGCTCAGTTGGAATAATCACCACAGAATTCACTTAAACAAATACTTAAATGATAACCTCCCTGGCATCAAACTGGTTGTGTAACAAAGCTCTTTAAAAGATGAAGCCATAAAGGTCCCATAAAACTGAATCCACAGTTGGAATAAAAGTTTTGTTTATCAGCTTGAACCTATTTCAGTGAAAGCAGCTCAATGGCAAGATCTAACGTGGCAGAAATAAAGTCCTGTAGCACCTCTGGTCATGTTGCTGGAAGGAGTGTTCCCTGAAGGGAGGGGAGTGTTCAGCTTTGCACAGAAAGTCATTTGCCTGAAGATAAAATCTCCTGGGGCACTCTCTGTGTTCAGGGCTTTGGGACAGCCCTGAATGCACCTGCATGGTATTGTACAGGGTTCTGTGAGCTTGAATGTCAGTAATTTTGCTGTCACTTGTGTTATGCTCTCTGCTTCTGGACACCGAGTCCCTCCTCTGCCACCCTCCTCACCAGATAAGCTTGGAACACTTTACAGTCTCTTTTCAAGGGGTTTTAGTTCATGTTCCATTATGATATAAAGTATTGGGTATTAGCAAACCCACAAAAGATTTGAAAAATACATTCAGCTGGTTTCACAGTGTGAGGCATGAGGTGACTCCTAGAGTGTGCTTATGCCTGGTAGAAAATCAGTTATTGTAGGAACTTGAAGATACAGATTAAAATGTACCTTTAGCATTTGTTAAGGCCCTTAACTAATGCTGAAGGTGAATTTTGAACCTTAATCAAGTAGGTGTTCATTCTGCCACATAGGTGGAACAGATGAAATCAGATTCAATCTATAAGCATACTTCAGTGGTTTTCTGTGTAATTGCTAGCAACATAGAATAAATCTTCAACTAATAAAGGTGCAGGGCTTTGGGACAGTGTAACTTCTGTCATGTGCAGGGCTGTTTTGGAAAGAGCATCATGCAATGGCATCAGAGTCAGCTCTGTGGGTTCCAGAATTTATACTAATGGTAATTAAACAAGGCACACAGATGCACATCTAAAGGCATTCTATACTTTCCTTTATTAAATGATGCACATAAATATAAGTGACTGAGATTCAGTAGAACTCTACACTGAACACACCTTTGCAGGCTGCAGCTCTTTCCTTTGATCTCTGTTACATATCATTCTTTGGTTTCTAATTCTGATTTAAAATACTCTAAGTTAGAATACATCTTAGGTCTTATACTTCATATATTTACTAGAGAAACCATTTCTTTTGCTAGGAGGTGTGTTCACTAATAAGGCTTCTATTCTTCGTAGTAAACAACATATTTACAAGCCACAAATAACAAAGTAGAAGCTGCAGAAGGGTTGTGGTGTGATAATTAAGTACAATGGCGACCCATATGAACAGAAAATGCCAAGGAGCTAAAACAAAGCAACAACAGCTTTGTTTGTTGACAGATGTAGGAGCCATATTGTTAGTTAATTGGGTAATGGTGTAAACATTTGCAAACTCTGCTGTCCCTCAGTGAATTAAGCAGCACACTGAAATTATGGTGAAAAGCTGCACAGTCCTTGTGCTGCAGGTACTCCAGAGGGCTCCTAGGATCCTTCTCACTGAGGAAAGAACATCCTGTGTTGTTATTTAAGGCACTTGAAGTTTGCACACCTTAGACTGGGACATGTATCTTGAATTATACTCAAGTGAATAACACGTTTCCATATGGTCACAGCCTGGAAGGTTGTGTTCAGTGCCCAGGCATGTTTTTGGGATTTTTTTCCAAGTGCAAAAGAGACAAGTTTTGACTTTCCTGCCTTTTCTTGCAAAATAAAAAATAAAAAAAGCAAATGAAAAACCCCAACAAAATGGTTGCAGGATTTGAAAATAGAGATGCTAAATTAATATGGGCTTGTACTGAAAAGAAGGAAAATTGCTTTTCTCAGGTGCCCAATGCCTCAGAAGCTGTGAATTGCACAGACCCCTCTTTACCTCACTCCCTGCTCAGTAACAGACTGTAGCAGAATATCAAAACATTAAAAAATGCTACAAGATACTTAATTAGCATACTTCTGTAATCACAAACTTAAATGCACTACTTTGGCTGTTTTTTACATAACAGGTTTGCTTTCGTAGATAATAACCTTTCAATAATTCAAGCAGCATCTGTGCAGGAATGCATAATTGGACTGTAGATAATAGGAATCTAAAATTGAGTCTGGTTTTTGTAAATTATTTTTCTCTTCAGACATTTAGCAGTAGCTCACCACGGTACATGAAGTTTAAGAAAATACGTTCCTGCTTTGAGAATAAAAATAATGCATCTGTTTGGTTTTGGGGTTTGGTTTGGGTTTTTTGATTATTTCATTTAAAAAAAAAAATCTGCTGCAGTCAGGTGAAATTACACTGATTTTGATGGTCTTAGGAAGTGATAAGCCTTGAATGTTTGTTTAAATAGTAATTTTTTCCTAATTATTCAATAAGACAATAGAAATGCAAATATATTTCAAGTTTGCCTGATTTAGTTGGGGGGAGAGAATGAGAAGTTACCTATTTGTTAATAGGTAAACAAATAACAAATGTTACCTATTTGTTAACAGGTAACAGGATTAGTAAGTTAGGCTTTTAAGAAAATTACACAAACATTTCTTACTAATTCATAGCATTTCATGTGCTGGACCCTTAATGTTTTCTGAAAATATTTTTAGAAAGCAGTGGCATGTTGTGATCATAGCTGAAACAAATTTAACTTTGGAAAAAATGCTTATTGGCATGCATCTGCATTTATACCTATGGCATAAGACTAATAATCTATTATTCACAAGTAGACTTCTGATAACTGGTGTGCTCACACAGCAAAATAAACAAAAACAGAATTACAGGGAAGATAATTTTAAAAATGGAGGGAAAATATTTCAGAAAATGGTTCATTTTTCTCCATGAAGCTTTGCAGTGACATTCTGAAGGATGTCACGGCATTGGCTTATAAATTTGAATGTCAGGACACTGGGACACTTGTTGTCATTAATTTGTCTATATAAGTAAATATATTGTGTAATAACCACACAATTAAACAGTTTTTTCCCAGCCTGGGATGATTGAGGAAAGCATTGAAGTGGGTGAAAGCTGGATGTTCCACCACATGACTTGGAGCAAGAAAGGGAGAAGGAAAATAAAGTTTCCCTTTTCAATGGAGAGATCCTGTTGGGTTGACTATGCTGCTTGTACCATCAGTTGACTGAAATTTTGGGATGATTATCTAGGAGTGCAGTTTTATTTTTCCTCTTAACTCATGTGTTCTAGTAAACCTTCCAAAAGTTCTTAACTTTGACAAAAATAGATTAGTGCATAAGTTTATGGTAGAGAACCAGACCTTCTTGGAATTAATGTCAGGGATTCTGGTTTTTTATTATTCTGTTCATTGTTATTATAAAAGAATACTTGTAAAAACAACAGAAAACACAATATATATTTCTTAATCTGCATCCTGAAAAATAATACTCACTACTTCAGCAGTCACTGATGGAAGGACACAAAATTCTTCCCAGTAAAAGTCTGCACTGTGAAGATAAACAATCCAAAAGTCTACTTACACATATCTTTGTGTTCATGTATTTACAGGTGACCCAGCTGGATCCAAATAAATCATTACTGGAGGTAAAACTGTATCCTCAAGAAACCCTTTTCCTAGAGGCAAAAGAATAGATCAAACAAGATTGTAGGACTAATCATCCTTTGATAAGCCAGAGGCACAGCATCGAGAGGAAGACTTCTCTGAGCACCACCTTGTACTGACATCCAGCTCAATTCCATGTCACAAGTTTGCCTCTTGCAAGAATCCTGAAAAATTGAAAAAACAAACATAGCTACTTAAAGTTTCACATACATGAGTATATGTTTCCAACCTCATTTAAATGAGCAGAGGATAAAGTTCTGCTATGAACACTGAACATTCTGATTCTGTTGCTCACTTATCATCCAGCTTTTGTTATAATTAATGCACTGTTAAAATGTGAGTGATTGTTAAGTAGAATTTTTACTCCTCAAATGCCCCTTTTTCACCAAGAAATCTTGGACATTTCTGCCTGTACTTTTGACACTAGAATGCTGTATATTTGATATCTCACTGAGCCAGTGCTCTCATATATATGCATTTTATTTCTGTGTTTGAATTTCTACTTTGTCAACTAATTTAAAAAGGCAGAAAAAAATTAATGGGACATTCTCAGCCATGGAAATTTAACAGTATTATAGTAGAAAGCATATAATTTTTGTTAGTACTTTCTGACTTCTTTGATAAGATGTAAGGTTTTGTTTGGAGAATATAGTTTGACATATATGCGAGATATTTATTTACTGGTTCTGCTTTGGGTCTCAGTTCCAATTCAGTTTAGGAAGTATTTTCCATTGCATTGCAGTGTGAAACTGCTTATTGCATGATGTGAATATTTAAATAACATTAGACATGGCCAGTACCAGAAACCTGGTATCTTGCCAACACTTCAGGAATCAGCTGATATTGAATATCAGCTGTTAAAAACCTTTCAAATACCAGATACAAAAGTTCTTTATTTCTCCTCCTGAAAGAAAGGGCAGTTCCCATTCTAGCAGTTTTTCTTCATTCTGGCACTTGCTTGTCTCCTATTACTCTGCTGGTTTAAAGCACCTTGTTTGGTTCATCAAACAATGGGTATTTTAAGGGGTGGTGTAATAAGAAATCTGCCTTATTGTTGCACACTTTGGACATATTAACAATGCATTATTGATCCCATCTCAAATTAAAGAAATCGTAGTTCTCTTGTCTGAAATGTATGCACCAGCTACCTGCTACCTGACATGGAAAAATCTGGTACTCTGAATTTCTCAACCACAGAATGAGCATACTGAGGCTAAGAACATAACGTGCAGTTGATGCCAAGCCTGCATCAAAACTGGTTTGTTTGGGGGTTTTTCTTCTCTTTTTTCTTCTTTTTTTTTTTTTTAATTTTTATTTTTTTTTCTTCCTTTTTTTTTTCCTTTTTTTTTTTGTTTTGTTTTGTTTTGTTTTTTTGTTTTTGTTTTATCTCGGGGCTTGCAAGACAGTGCACAATAGCACTACAGGATCATCATCTGCTAAACTAATTTTTTTTTTTTTATTTAAAGCCTGGCACATTGTTTTCCATCTATGTTTATGCGTAATTCATAGTGTTTATTGTAGCTGAATGAGTTCTGATTTGAAAATTTTATACTAAGCTAAAACCCAGTTGCACACATCTTTTAGTCTTTCTTTTTTTCTTTGGAAGGATGGTGATATAAAATTAAATGTATGCCTATTATTAAGATGTTAGTGATGCTGATATATTGTTACCTTTACCAAAAATGCGAATTTCTGAGTGGGCAAAGCCTTATTCTACCTTTTATAATTCTGTAATTAGTGAGTGCTACACCAGACACTTTTAGAAGTGAAGTATCTATGGCACACAAAAGGTTTAGAAGTGTAAGCAAATCCTAATAATTTGCAGTTCACAAATAAAAGAATTCCTAGCCAATAGAATGATAAATGTATGTGTAATGGAAAGCTGAATGCAGACGCTTCATTCTGAACTTTCGTTTTCTTACAAAAAAAAATCCACTACGTTTATTAAATAAGAAATTAACATGGGTTGCAAATTGGGGTGATGCTGTTTCTACAAACAATCACAGTAAACATACAGCAGGATTTTAAAGTGATACATATCTTTTTTTTTTCCTTCTAAGCTGGCTGTTGAGGAAAGGAGTTGCTGAAATAGTGCTACACAAAGCAAAGCAACCTTTCAGCTAACTTGTTTATATTAATCTGTTCTGTTAACTTCTGTTTGATCTCATCAGGCTGTTTTCTCTCACTCAACTTGATTTCTGTATTTTGACTATATATTCTTTACTTTGATACTAGTTTTATAAAGTTATTAAATGTGGCTTGAATATTTGTTGAACTTGTTGAAGTCAGTGCTCCCAGGGTTGTTTGGCCTTTTTTTTTTTCCTTCTAAACTCCATTATTTTTTCCCTCATTTTGTTCATATTGCAAAATACACTGTCATTATCAAAATGTTCTAGTGATAATTAACTGGAAGTGTTCAAAGTGGTGGCATTACTTCCCTCTGACATGAAGATTTTGAGATCAGTATACAGGGATCATTCTGCCACAACGTGAACAAGTGTATCGCTCTTTAAATAAAACGTTAATGATTCTGGTCCTTAAATACTTTGGGCCTGATTTCAAGAAGCAACCATGTTGAGTCACCTTTCTGAATCACACCATCCACAGAAACCAATCCCTGTGTAGAAATATTAATATTCTATGCCATCATTTTCTGCTCTCCTGGTATTCACTTCACACGCTCTGCTGGCATGGATAATCCTCTAGTCATTCAAATTTTGTAATTCGGTATTACCCTAGAACTGTAACACCATTGCTACAGAGCATATCCCTGATTCTGCCTTTTTATCTTCAGGTTCTTCACATTAATGGATTACCATTAAGGTGATTAATGCATTAGTTTTAAGTCTTAGGGAATTACTGTTGCTGAAAGGAATCCCGTGTGATGCGTCAGCTTCCGTGACTCGTGGGGTGAAGGTGGGGCACACTCTGGTTTTGGGAGAGACTTTCTGCCTATTGACAGTGGTGTTGGAAATCATTATTAGAGACCCTGCAGAACATGGTGTTTGCTCTGTGCTCTCTCAGCTCAGTGGGAGTGCTGAGGGTGTTTCTAATGGAGCTGTGTTGGGGGGGTCTGTCTGTCCTTTTTAATGGAGGAGAAGAGGACTTTGGCTTTCATAAACTGTACCTACTCAGTGACATTAGAAACTTGAAATAAATTTTCAGTTGCAGCAATATTTCTACTAAACAGATATATGATTTCACTCACCTGTATGTGGGGAAAAATCAAATGACAATATCCCAGAGTCACAGGGCTGAAGTGCTTCATTATGCAAGCCTTGTGTCCAATCTCCCTGAACAATGCATGAGAAGATTTCAGTGCCTTAGAACAGCTTCCACAGCAAGCACAAAGCACGTAGTGGGTGTCTCTACACGAGAAGAGTCACTACCAGGCAGAGCCAGAAGCTGCTTGGAGCAATCAGAGCTGCTGAGGGTGGAGATGTCTCATGTGTGCCATTCCTCCCTGGGCCAAAGGCTTCCCCTCTGCTGCCCTGCACTCAGGCCGGGCACCAAGACCTTCCACCATTTGACAAAGCAGAGGATACATTTTTATTTGGAAACAGTGATGGTGGCCTCCTCCAGGGGAGTTTTCATTGATTTGAATTCACACTTTGGTTTTGCCAGTGTTGTGAGGGCCTGAGGAGAGACAAGTTCCTGTGCTGGACATTCCCTCGTCTGCTTCAACACCGCCATGGCACAGCTGCTTTTAATGTGTGTGCTGCCCACTAGAAAAGCTGTTTGGCTGCCAAAATACAGAATTCCTTTAAGGTCCTTGAGAGGGAGGGTGAAAATCAGTCTTTAGGCTGGCAGCTGTGTGCTTGCCTGGGGTGAGCCAGCACAGCCCTTGACAGTGCATGTTCATTGCAGCCATTGGTCTTTTTGAACAAAAGGGCTGAGGGTGGAAACTGGATGTTGATTCTGCGTCTGAGTTTAGTTTTTATGTTCTCTTTGTATGAAAGAGAAAGCAACTGCAGTAGCCTTAATTATGTATTTTTTTCTGGATGGGTTATGAAAGAAAGCAGAAATTACTGTACACAGCAAGAGACATTGTTCTCTACCTGAAACTATTTCCCTCACAGATATCAAAGGTGGAGAAATACCAAGTTTAGCACTAAACCTGTCAGGATCCAGACAGTTTTATACTCAGTTTAGTCTGATATAGATGTATACTTCTGCCAGCAGAGCCATCTCTGCCCCACCTTGCACTGGAACCAGGCAAACTAATTAAAAAGTGACCATTTTTTTCCTGGAGCAGTTTTGAGGCTGATGCTGCTCACTGGTAGGAGTCAGTGAAGATGAGAGGAAGAGGAAGGCAAGGCTGCTCTCCCTGTCAGCATTGCTGATTTATGTAGGATGAAATTGATCAGGCTCCTTGAAATATTTTTTTAATACCTTATTGCTACCTTTGCATTTTACATCCTTTTGTTTTTAGGGTTTTGTTGTTATTATTTCAAGCAAATTTAGTGCTATAAAGGTTTGGCTGTCTGAAATTTCCTTAAATCTTGTCAAAGTCAGCAGCCCAGAATTCAGGAAATGAGAAGGCAGATGAAAGGTCCCTTGGGTGTGTGCAGGGAAGGCAAGGCTCACTCCAGATCCAACTCTTGGGAGTCACTCCAGACCCAAGCACCCTAAAAGTTTCAAAGGGTTTTAGTGTCTCATTAGATAGCAGAGAATCCACTCCTTAGCCAGGGCTTTCCTCTGTGGATTCTTTGGTGTAATAAAGACTGAAGTCACACTGCAGCCTTAATATAACTCAATTAAAATGTCACTCAACTGCTGGTTATAGAAAGAGGCTTCATTAGTTCCTGTGATTACAGAACTACTGGTTAACAGAATTGTTGTTTTGTACTCAGTACCCCAGAATTTCCTTTGCTGTTTCCCAGCTCCGTGTTGTGGCAGGATTCCACAGCTCATGGCTGTTCCCTTTCCATCCACTCAACTTGAATGGATTTATGTTATTTATTGGTACCAACAGCTCACCACTGATCCCTTTCTCCAGGTACTGGTGTCTCAGTACCTTGAGTAACACAAATTCCCTCACAGGTTCCTGGGGACATGGCTGGAATCCTCTCACTGTGAAAATTGTTGCTTTCTGCTTCCAGCTATCAATCTCAGATAATGTTACTTTTTTTTTTTTTTTTTTTTTTTTTTTTTAAACACAAGAGTACATGTTTCCACTGTAGGAAACACCACTACAAATTACTAGCTTAGTTGTTTCTATTTTTAATAAAAGGAGTCTTTTACACCATAAAAATATCTTCTGGCAGGTTTCCTGTTTCTGATATTTTTAATAATTCTTTACAACTTGGGTAGTTGTTCCTTGCAGTCTGTCAGTTGTTTAATTCAGGATTTGTGTCTTCCAAGAGTTAAATTTCCATGGATTTTCTGATTTTCTTTTTAGTTTCCTACTTTGAGTCTGTCTTCCAATTACATCCTTGAATGTGCTGGTTCACACAGCTACACTGCTTCTTGTGGGCATTCTGTAGTTTTTTAAACTCAGATACATGTGTACTCTGAGGATCTAAGATAGTGTCTTCAAAAAGTTTTGGTTACAATCTTAGTCTTTTACCTGTAATTTTTCTCTCTTATCCTCCTTTTTATGCAGTTTTCTTTGAAAAGGGTAGTGCTATTCAGGTGATTTTAAACAATTATTATAATTTTGTAAAGTAGTGAATATAAGTATGTTTTCAATCTCCTAAAAATGTAGTTTCTATCATTTTTACTTGCCTCTATGCTTTATTTAATCTACTGTCACAGTCCCCGTTAGCATGAGTTCCTATCACTGCTAAGTATTTTATACCTTGTAATTATGGCATCCTACTCATGATTTTGCCTTTTCTAAATTTACAGGTAGACCTCATTTGTTGTCATTTGAAAACCCCTATCCTGTTGCAGCCATTTTAGGAGCTTAAAAGTTATTCTGATGTGTACTTTAAGAATATTTTTCATTTTGTGTTGGCCTATTTGCCTGTTTATGTGTCCTGATTAATTAAGACTAATTGCGTAAGGGAAAGCATTTCCAAACTGGTGGCAATCGAGAAGGAATTTTTTTAATGACAGCTATAAACTCGCTGATGCAGAAGAACAAAATAATTTATAATTTTGTGGGTGCAATGAAGAAAAAAGGGGGGAGATAATTTTTAGGATCTGCGATTTACAGAGAGCACTCCGTTGCTGAAATATACTTCTTCAAGCTTTAGGCGAAGGTGAGTCAGACATTGTGCGGCTGTTGCAGCGTCGTCTAACGTGGGAAAAGCAAACCAAATAACAAACAAAAAACGGCAAAAAAGCCATCCCCGCCTCGATGCGGGTCCCCCCGCGCCTTCGCACCCCGCGGCCGCCGGCTCCCCGGGAGATGCTGGCGCGGCGGGGCGGGATGGGGCGAAGGCACCTCCCGGGCTGCTCCCGGCACCGCCGGACCGCAGCCGCCCTCCGGCCTCTCCCGGGCGGGCGGAGCCGTCGGGGCAGAATTCCCGGGGCACCGGAGCGCTGCGGCGGCCGCCGGGCGCGGAGCCGCCCCCGCGGGTCTTCCCTTCCCTTCCCTTCCCTTCCCTTCCCTTCCCTTCCCTTCCCTTCCCTTCCCTTCCCTTCCCTTCCCTCCGCGGCCGCGCTGGCTCCGCACCCTGCCCGGCTCTGCCCGCACCTCCACCAACAATTATTTTACAATTATTTAAAAGATAACTAAAGCGAAGCCAAAAGAGGGGGAAACGCTGGGTGCCGGCACCTTCCCCCGCGGGCGGGGGCGGAGAAGGGGCCGCTCAGCGCGGCGCAAGGAAAAACTGGGCATTCCCGGGGAAAAAAAAACAACAACCCACGAACAAACAGCCAACCAACCAGCCAAACAAACGGAGCCACACGCTCGGGCATCGCCCCAGCGCTGCCCGCTCCCGCGGGGCTGGTGGCACCGGCCGGGGCTGGACGGTGCCGTGGGAGCTTGCGGATGGTCCATCAATAACTTGAAAGAAGTCTGTGTTTGTATAAGAACCCCTTAAAATACCGCGTGTCAGCTGGAAAAAGAATACAAGAATCATTTTTTGCCCCAAGTGCGTGTGGTTTTGGATGACGCTATTACAGCGGCCCGCCCGCCCCTCCGCAAACCCCCTGGATGTGTCTCTTTAGCGATAATAGACTGTGTTTATCTATCGCGTTCCGTCAGGATTGTTCTGCTCCTGAGCTCCTGGGGCAATAAACATTGAAAGGGGGAATCCTCTGGCAAATCCAACCGGGGCTGTCATGATCATGAATAAAAATAAAAGGATTAATCCTCTG